CAATATCTCTAGTACCACAACCCCTTCTAAACCTAGCCTGGACTTCTGGTAGTTCTCTGTTGATGTGCTGTTCCAGTCGTTTTTGGATAATCTTCAGTAAAATCTTGCTTGCATGTGAAATCAGTGAGATTGTTCTGTAGTTTCCACATTCTGTTGGGTCACCTTTCTTTGGGATAGGAACAAATATCGATCTCTTCCAATCAGTTGGCCAAGTGGTTATTCTTCAGATTTCTTGGCACAACTTGGTGAGCACATCCATGGCAGCATCTGTTAACTGAAATATGTCAATTGGTATACCATCTATTCCTGGAGCCCGGGAGCCTGGGCTTTATGAGGAGAAATTTGGGGTCAAGATTGGTGGACGATTTATCAACAATCTGCATTATGTGGATGACACAACCCTGCTTGCTGAAACTGAAGAGGACCTGAAGCTCCTGCTGCAGAGTGTCAAGGACTGCAGACTACAATATGGATTGAGGCTCAATGTCAAGAAGGCAAAGATTCTCACCACTGGACCAGTTGGCAGCATGATGGTGAAGAGATTGAGATTATACACAGCTTTATTTGCTTGGCTCCACAGTCAACACTCTTGGCACCAGTAGCCAGGAAATTAAAAGGCGCATTCCCATGGGAAAGTCTGCTGTTAGGGACCTCTCCAAAGTGCTGAAGAGCAGTGGTGTCTCTCTGGAGACTAAGGTGCGTCTGATACAGGCCATGGTCTTCGCAATCACCTGTTATGCATCAGAGAGTTGGACAATGACCAAGGAGGATAGAAGGAGAACTGATGCCTTTGAGCTGTGGTGCTGGAGAAGAGTCCTGAAAATACCATGGACTGCTAGGAAAACAAATAGATTTGTCCTGGAGGGGGTTAAACCAGGTGGCTCCTTGGAGGCAAGGATTCTGAGGCTCCGTCTAACTTACTTCGGACATGTAGTGAGGAGAGACCGGTCCTTAGAGAGGGACATCATGCTTGGGAGGGTGGAGGGACAGCGCAGGAGAGGAAGGCCCTCTATAAGGTGGATTGATTCAGTGACTGGGATAATTGGGATGGGAGTGTCAGAGACAGTGCCACTGGCACAGGACAGAGCGGAGTTTAGGGCTGTTGTACACAGGGTATCTATGAGTCGCAAGTGACTCGACGGCACATAACAACAACAACAGCAACACCAGGTCTTGGCAGAATACTTAGGGTTTTCTATTTATAAAATGACATAATCTATATTAATATAGATTTAACTTTTCTTTCCAATTTGGATGACTTGAATTTATTTCTTTTTTCCCCTGCTTAATTTATCAGATTAGAATTTTAAGTACTATAGTTAATAGAAATTGTAAATGTAGGAATCTTTGTCCTGTTCTTGATAATAGAAGAAAAGCTTTTAATCTTTTAACATTGAGTTTGTGTTAACTTCAAAGACATATCTATGGAAAAATTACTCAAATGACAAGCATTGAAACTGTACTCCTGTCCAAATATCTAACATTCATCCTTTAGATAACTTTGTAATGTCATATGACAGGTTGGATATAATACAGCCATGCTTCCGTCTTTGTTCAAATTGCTATAAAGTTTTATGTGTTCTGGTTTCCCAAAGATACCAGCCAACTAATAGATTTTCTTCTTAGAATAACAATTTTTACTTTCTCAATGCATCTATGATTTTTATTACAGAAATTATAATTTAAAAATTTTATATTTTTTTGTTTGTTGTTGATATGTGCTGTCGACTCATACTTCTGAACCTACCCTATCCTATCTCACTGCCTCAGACACACCTAACCCCGTCATCTCATTTAGTGTGTCTATCTACCTCCTCCAGGGGTCTTCTCTTGCACTGTTTCTCCACCCTTCCACACTGATGTCCTTCTCCAAGGTTTGGTTCCCTCCTGTCAACACGCCTACAGTAGGTGAGATATAGCTTCAAAATCCTTGCCTCTTAGAAGCAACTTGGCTTTACCCTCTCCAGCAAAAACCCATTTGCAGTCCATGGGATGTTCAGCATTCTTTTCCAGCACTACAACTCAAAAACATTAAGCCTTCTATCATCATTAGTCTTTGTCCAGCTCTCTGATATACTTGCATAACAAGTAATTGCAAAGACCATGCATGGCCAAGATCAGGTGCACCCTAGTCTCTAGATTGATGTCATTGCTCTTTAGCATTCTGGAGAGATCCCTGATAGCACATTTTCTCAGTGCAATTCATATTTTGATTTCCTGACTGCTAGCACCAAGAGTGTTGATTGTGGAACCAAGCAAGCTGAAATTGTTAGCAATGTCAATCTCCTCTCTATTTTTCACAATGCTCCAATTAGCCTAGTGGTAAGGATCTTAATTTTCTTGATGTTGAGTTTCAATTAATATTTGAGACTGCAGTCCTGATCCTCAGCAGCAAATGCCTGAGGCCTTCCTCAGTTTTCGCAAGCAAGGTTATGTCATCAGCATAACGCAGGTTGTTAATGAATTTTTCCCCAATTCTGAAATCACACAATATATTCTCCTTCATTGCAGAAAAGATTCTATTTTATCTAAACATGTTTTGTTTCCCACATTTTATAATGTCTTTTCGTCTTGATAATGTTTATGTTAGATATTGCTATTGAGCCCATTCTGCCTTATCAAGATCCTGTAAGACAGATAGACCCTCTTCTCTGGGTTTCCAAGGCTGAATTGCTTAAGTGAGTAGAATGCCAAATATTCTTTTTGCAGAGCAGGTGTTGAGTTCAAATTGTTGGCCTTTCAATTAGTAGCTGAGATCTTAACACCCCCCCAACCCCCCACCCTGTGCAAATTTTTAGGTTAATTTGTTTCTATTGTTTATACCCTTGTTAGTTTCATTTGTTTGTTTCCTCTTCTATTATGATTAACTCTATCTATCTATCTATCTATCTATCTATCTATCTATCTATCTATCTATCTATCTTTTTGTCTATGTATCTATCATCTATCTATCTATCTATCTATCTATCTATCTATCATCTATCTATCATCTATCTATCTATCTATCTAGACTTTGAACTCTTCAAAAAAATTTCCGATTGCTAAATTTGGCAGTACGATTCCTTCTAATTTCTTTCCGTAGTAATGCCATTTTCATTTGCATATGGTTCTGTTGTCCTAGTACTTCTAGTTTTATGAAATTAATGTGTTTTAATTTTGTTATTATTATCCTAAGACAATCAGTGGTGTTTTGTCTTGGCTATGGATTTGCTGGATCAAATCTCCTTAGCACATTGCATGATTATCTTCCTTTGATCTCCCGTTTTTTTTCTTCTCTTCCTTCCTTTCTCCCCCATTCCTTCTCTATCTTCTTTCTTTTTGTTTCCTCTTTCTTTTGTTAAAGTTTTCTTTATACTGAATGGTATTATTTTAAATATGTATTTGGTTTCGAGTTGATTTAGTTATGTTTGAATCTAATAAGCAAATACTGCATGGTAGAATTTTTCTAGACACTGCACCTTTTTACCCAGGATTTTATTTTTTTTTCCTTTTTTATTACATAAGTTAAGAGTATATTAGGCATTGTGTTTGGACATATGCCTTGATTGGCTTCTGAGGAAACTCAGTTTATTATGCGTTTCTATGATACCTAAGACAATTTGGTAAACAATGGGAAATGTTTACTGAATATTTTCTCTCCATCTGCTTGATCTGTCCCATGGAAATAGCTTTTATGCAAAATTAGGCCATATTGTTAAAGTCACTTTGAGAATAACCAAGTAATCTTCAGTTCCTGGGAGGAGGCTCACAGGGTTAGTCAGGATAGCACTTTCAGAGAAAAGCTTTTTGATAAATCATGCTACTTTCTTTAAGACATCATAACTTTTTATACCAAAGAAATTGTACACTTGGATTCTGTTGCGTGTCCATGAACACTAGCAATTACTACAAATTGCAAGTATGTGCTGTGACCAAATTTCTAGAATGGGTGACTCATGGGCCCAGACAGTGCCTGTCTGCCCTTGGGAATGTGGAGTGGTGAGGGAAGTCCCCAGGGAGTGCTGCCAAAGATGCAACACATCTGTGCAAGACACTCAGCACAAAGCTCTTCTTTCCACACATTTCATGCACTGTAGAGGGCAAGTGCATTCTATAAGATACACTAAATCTGTGCACCACTGAGGGGCTCATGGCTCATGGCAGACTTCAGAGCTGTGATGTGTCTGTGACTCAGGGAGGTCACTAGGTCCCTGATTACTCTTATTCTCTGTGCACTTGACATTTCATGGAGAGCTCACACTCATACATGTCAGAGTGAAATGGTGGCAGGCTGATTTGCTGTCACTTGCTAATGCCCTGAATTCTTTATTGCTCTAAAGTCACACAAGTGAGAGACAACTCAGACTTGCAGCCACTTAGCTAGGTCTCCTTCTCCGCTTGGTTGCAGACAGCAAGCCCATTACTTTCATCAGCTCCTGCCATAGTGACGTCTTTTCCTCCCTCCGGTTTTCCCAAACTACTTCTCTCTGCTAACTGATCTCTGACTTTCATACTCAATTGCTACTGCTCAATTTGCCTTAGGAACTTATATTTTTGAAGACTAAACACATCAAGATAAGAGATACTTAAATTACTTAAATATAAAGAAAGCGACACTTACACCTAAATTAAGATTTAATTGGTTTTACTCTGCTAAGATCTAAACAAAATTCTGAAACATATAGAATGTGGAAAATGGGTACCATCCAGTGCACAATTATTCTGCAGTGTGAATGATTGCCACCAACTCTTTCCCAGGCCATATCAGATTGATTCATGAGAGAAAAGCATACTGTAGACCCAGTTAATTCTATCTTCTCTCTTAGGACTATGAAAAACTGAGAGGCAATAGAAGTGAGAAGATGTTGAAATGTAGTCATTTTGAGGCAGAGCTTTGACTCAAGGTCTACTAGAATCTTTATTGAGGGTTCCAGAAAGTCTTCACCTTTCTCTTCCTTTCCCATGTATGCCTTCATAATAAGGATTTAAAAATTGCTAACCCCGACTGCTGCCGCCGCTGCTGCTTTCGCGGGCCCTGCCAGCTCTCCCGGCTCCGCATCGCATGCTCGGACCCGAGCCCGCCCCGCCCCTCAAACGTCCTCCTGGGGACTTCATGGCACCGCCCCGGATCGGAACGCACAACGGCACTTTCCACTGCGACGAGGCGCTGGCTTGCGCCCTGCTTCGACTCCTGCCAGAGTACCGGGATGCAGAGATTGTGCGGACTCGGGACCCCGAAAAACTGGCCTCTTGTGACATCGTGGTGGATGTGGGTGGCGAGTATGACCCTCGGAGACATCGGTATGACCATCACCAGAGGTCTTTCACTGAGACCATGAGCTCCTTGTCCCCTGGAAAGCCTTGGCAGACCAAGCTGAGCAGTGCAGGACTCGTCTATCTGCACTTCGGGCACAAGCTGCTGGCCCAGTTGCTGGGCACTAGTGAAGAGGACAGCATGGTGGGCACCCTCTATGACAAG